ACATTTCCATTGCTTTAATTTTTCGGAAAGGGGGTCCAAATGAGGTGGCGGCTCTCCGTTCTTTTAAAAGGTTTTGCCCTTTTTCAACTCAAAGCCAAAAATTTTAGAGCCGGACTTTTCACAATCATTGAAAGGTGTTTAAATTTATTGGATTATAACCCATCAAAAAAATACAATTATGCACCATAAAGGGGTACCCTTTCCCCATTCCCATTTCGTTATTCTTTTGGATCGCCCACATTGTGTCAGCCCCGGCCTGGCTCTAAAATCCCCCCCCCCCCTTATTTCCCATCCTCGCACAGGGTCAAAGGTATATAAAATATATTGGATTATCAAGTCATCGCAAATTACTACTGTGGCAAATTAATATCGTGACGTAATTTTTTCCTTAAATTTTTTGTGACTCTCGAGGAGGGGAAACGCGTGAAGACCTGACAATATACGCCTCAAGAATTTTTTTTTATCCTTATCCTCGACGTAGATTGTTTGTCATAGAAAATAAAATAAAAATATTAGTAGAGGAATTTGTAATGTCCAATGAAGCAAACGACTTTATTTGATTCTTTTGAATCAGCCAAAAAAAATACTTTTAGTCGTGAAAAGAAGCGCTATCGCAAAGATGAAGAGCCAGTTGAATCGCTCTCGAATTTTTTAGGTGAAACATTAAGCCTTCCGACAGAGCAAATACTTCCACATCATTTTTTCTCATTATGTGGAACCGAGCACTCCAAGAAAGTTTGTAGTCTTTGGAAGGAACGTGAAGAAAGAATCCATTTTTTTCAGCATCAGAATATACAAAAAGGTCTGAGGTGGAATCATTTTAGTCGTAATGAAGAAGGCAATTCAGAGAGAAATGGAATTATAAATCCACCTCTTTCCCGGAATGTTTACCAAAATTCAATAATTGATATTTCATCAGATATCAATGGACAAGTTTTTTTCGCATTGCAACGCTCAGGTTTTAATCTTTTTTCATCTATTTTTTCTCACGAAGAGCCCGAGTCGAAAATATCGAAGAGTATGGTTCTGCGTTTGGATAGTAATAACATACGCGAGCACCGATCAATACACCCGAGTCGTTCGTTTATTTTTTCCTGCTCACATTTTATAGGAAATTCACTTTTTGTAGCATGTGGGTACTCTAGAATACCATTATTAGAAATATTTGATTTAGAGGATGTTGACGAAACCGCATGTGATCCAATTTGGAGCTTCCATCTTGATCAAATCCAAAGGAGTCAAGATGCTAATAATATTTTCATTGAAGAAGATACTCCGTTTGTAACTGATATTATTTCTCTGTCAAACAATTTGTCTACTTCAGGGCTCTCGAGCGGAGAATCTATATGGATTGATTTACGGCAAAAGGTAGCAATTCAATGCACACCACGCATAGGAACCACCTCAAGTGCACAAAATCTTTTCGATATGTCTTTGGCTCAGAAGAGACCTTCTCCTCTTACATCCATTCTATTTTCTTCGTCAAATTCTAGCCTTTTAATTACAGGAGCGAAAGATGGAAGGGTCTCTTTATGGGATATTCGATATCCTAAAGATTCCATTGATTCATATCGTAGTGGATCAGAAATAGGGAGATTGTGGACTTACACTGGGAATGGGAAGCGAATGGGCTGTCCACAAGTTTGGTTTAACAATTATAGAGGAGACATTGTCGGCCTAGCTATGGGTAATGATTCCTTTTCAGAAATATTTTCCCTTAAAACTGAGGACTCTATGCGCGACAACTTTTCAAATAATATTACAACTCAGAAACTTTCACTTTCCAATGAAGGACTGGTATTTTATCCTCATATATCTAAAAATTCTATTTTAGTTCTTGATATAGAAGCTGGAGTTAGAGGTTTTCTTAATGAAAAAGTTGAAGCAGCATCGTTTGGAAATGCTACATCATATCAGCCTAGCAAATTTCAAAGTGCTGATTCACTTTTCATAGAGGACCCATTTAATGACCTTCACAATATAGTCGATAGTAAAGTATTGAGGGCAATTTTTTCTTTTTCGGATACATCTGATCAAATTTCAGCTTGTTCTGTTTTTGATGACCCAATATTTTTACTCGTGGGAAGCTCTGTTGGTGGTTTATCTTTAATTCACAACAAACATATATATTAGATCTTTACTTCGACATTTAAAAAAATATATGGTCTTCAGGCTTATATTAGTATTACTTTACCGATAATTTTCATTTAAAATATTTGTAAAAAAACTTATTTTTACTCATTTTTTTCCATCTTTGTAAATTAAGGGTAAAAAGGTAAAAGTCAGAAAAAATGTTCAAGTTTTCTTCCAGGTGTTTAAACATGGGTCTTGGAGATGTATATGTTAAAAAAGTTTTCGACACCGTTTCTTCCAAGTACGACTTCATGAACGATGTTTTATCGCTTGGAATTCATCGTCTATGGAAAAATCATTTTGTAGAAAATTCTGTCCGACCAGTTTTGGGTGCGAAATTTTTGGATATTGCTGGAGGGACTGGTGATATTGTCTTCAGAATTATGGACACTATACGTCGACAAGAACATATTTTCGGGTTAACCCCCAGAAGTTTAGAAGGAACTCAAATAGTTGTTTGCGATATTAATAAAAATATGCTTGAAGAAGGTGAACGAAGAGCCATTCGTGAGGGATATTTTGATATTAATTGGGTTTGTGGGAGCGGTGAGGAACTACCCTTTGAGGATGAACTTTACGATAATTGCACAATTTCTTTTGGGATTCGAAACTTTAGTGATCGTCCCAAAGCTCTACGAGAAGCTTTTCGAATTTTGAAAGTCGGGGGTGTGCTAAGTATTCTTGAATTTAGTCATGTCACATTTTCACCACTAAAAATTCCATATTCTATTTGGCTAAGTGGATTTTTACCTCAGGCTGGACGGCTACTTGCCGATGAAGAAAGTTATCGTTATTTGGCTGAAAGTATACGTTCTTTCCCGGATCAAGAAACTTTTGCACAAATGATTCAGGACGCGGGCTTTAGTTTTGTCCGCTACGAAAATCTTTCTGGAGGAATTGCTTGCATTCACACAGCAGTGAAAACAGGTCCATTAAACTCAAAAGTTGAAAATACATGATATATGCCGAAATTTGAGCAGAATGGGATGCTGGACTCAGATGCAGAGCCCAAGATTGTGTAATTAACATCCATTATTTCTGTATGTCTATTGTCATTTAATCTATCAGGCTTGAACTTTCTATATTTTACTTAATTATCATGAGAAAAAAAAATAGTGAATAATAATACTTAATAGGGAACCAGAAAATATTTATTTTCTTATTGTTAAGTTTTTCACTCTCCTTCAACAACTACGCAATCTTCGTATTATCTGGACTAGCAAATATATACATGGATCTTGTCATCATTTTTTTTTTGAATGAATTTGAGTTAAATAATTATAAATATATATATATATATTTATATATATATAGTTATTTTCTTAGAGAATGACAGTTAAATTCTTTCTTTTTCCTTCTCCATATTTTTTGTTAATGCTTTCTTAAATTGACAAAAGGGTGTTTTGCACAACCCCCAAAACAGACATAAATATTATGACTACAATAGATCGTGATAAAAATGTACGTGCTACTTTTCCAACCTCGATGTGTATGCAACGTGATTTATCATCAAGTCCCTCTATATCACGTCTTGGAAGCACAGTAAAAACTTTACATATTCAGCAATGCACTGTTAAACATGAAGATGATGAGCACCCTTTAGAGCACATGACAGTTCGTTTTGAAGAGGATAACTTAATGGTTGTAACAAGTGTGTTACTTGGAAAAGGTGGGTTTGGAAAGGTTTTTTTAGCTAATTCAAATGGTGGAGAGTCGTATGCACTTAAAGTTTCGTCGAAAAAAATGAGTGAAAATGATTTAAAGAGACTTACTGAAGAGGTAACTTTAATGAGCCATTTTTCAAGGCATCCCAATATTGTTAAGTTTTATGCAGCAGGTCGTGATAGAGACAGAGCATATGTTCTGATGGAGCGATGTGCAAGTCGATCAGTTCATGATATTATTGCTTTCAGTAGTCTTGACATTAAAGAAATACTTTGGATTGGCAACTCTTTGGTGACTACAGTGGCATACATTCATTCGAAAATGTGTATCCATAGAGATCTTAAACCACAAAACCTTCTCTTTGATTTTGATGGTAACTTGAAAATCACAGACTTTGGCCTCTCAAGCCGAATTTCTGAGGCTCAGCCTCGTAAAACAGTTGCTGGAACAGCCATGTATATGGCACCAGAGATGGCTGAGGAAGTTTATAAGCGAATGACAAAAAATGGAAACTTGCAGTCCTTGAGCTATGGTGATGAGGTCGATACTTGGAGCATTGGTGTAGTTCTTTATGTTCTTCTTACTCGGATGAATCCATATTTAGCTACAATGGAAGAAAGGGGGGTGCAACTATTGGATAGGTCGCAAAAATCACTTGCTTTGTTCAACGCAGTTGCAGACGCAGCATGGAGCTGGCCAAAAAACTGGTGTGGGGACTTTCAGTTATGTGACCTTGTGGAGCGAATTCTTCTGCACGATCGAAGTCGACGAGTCACTCTTCAGGAAGTTTGTGAAGACCCAGTTTGGAATCGAAGTCCAGTAACATGTCCACTTTCTCTATTGCAAAAGCTTGACATGCTCGAGCAACCTGTGAATCCGCTTGGTCACCTTGCGGAAAATGTTCTTTCGGGACCAAAGAAAACATTCACTGCAGTGATTAATAAGGGATTAGAAAGGATTGAGGTTGTGGAAAAGCGCCATCGCTCACAGCTTCAGCTCGAATATTATGAAACGTTTAACATATTGCTCGGCATACTAGCTTTGTCAAGGAATGAACTCGACCAACGGCTTCTTATACTAAGGGGCGAAGAGGCAGAGCGTGCTAACCTTCGAAATCAGTGGTGTAGATGGCGGCAAGTTGGTAGGCGTGCTGGAAGCGTTTCGTTAGTCTCTGACACGCCCACTCACCAATCCGTTGGATTGCGAAGTACGCGATCAGTGCGACGCAGCGTTGAGCTATCTGATCGCATTCCTATTGATCAGGGAGAGATCGTTAGGGCAAGTCCTGACCAGTACGCCATGATTTATCCTGGTCGCAATACATCAACCCGATGGAATCTCCGTTCAGTTGTATCGCTTCCTCGAGGGCTAAACCAAACTATTGAGCAGGAGTTTCAGTGTATGAATAGACATATTATGACAAAGCTTACTTCAATGCCTCACGGGTACAATGGCTTCGATTGCAATGTCTGCGATTCCGGCATTTTAACGATCAGCGCTGAAAGGCCCGCATTCAGGTGCTACAAATGTGATTATGATGTTTGTATGAAATGCGCCTACTCTGGAAAGTTCAAGGATGTCAATTTTGTTTGTTTGACATGTGGGAAAAAATTCACATCGTCTGCCAAGCTTCATTCCCATTCATTAATGTGCCGTGGCCCCAGCATGAGTCCTTCTCCGCGCCGATCTTCACGAATGAACACACTTCTATGGGATGATGTTAAACGTCCTAGCTTGCTGGAGGTACAGCTTCCTGAGGACAACGATGATCTAGATTCACAAAAAAGTCGAGGCTCAGGGCGAAGAACGTACACGCGGACCTCTACGGGAGGTCGGATTAGTATCGGTAACCGAGAGGTTCCAACTCTTGAAGATATGGGTGCATTAGTAGTGAAACATCGCATTGCAGAGTTTCCTAATATTAGTATGCACCAGTCTACTTCTGAACTGCATTCGTCGACTCAAAAGTATCAGAACGGCTCTAGTAGCTTTAGTGACACTTCGTTGGAATCAAAGTCGGAAGTTTTTACTCCAAATCGTATTCGCGCAGCGAAGGCTGGACGCCAGGACAACTTAGCTGGGTTGCAAAAACTCTCTATGACCGCCGACGATAGCGAGCATTTGCTGTCGAAGCGCCGACATATGGAGCCTGACTTGGATAAACCCTTTGCACCCGAGTATAATGAAAATGGTATGATAGTTGGAATAGCGGCACGGCGACGGGCTGAAAGTATTAGTACAGTGCCTATAAATGGCGCCGGAGTCGTTACCATTCGCGTTGACGCAGCTGACAAGCCTCGGGAAATTTTTAGACAAACCAAAGTTCCGCGAAGTATATCATCCTCCAATGCGCGCGCGATTAGCAAACCCAGGGCACACCCGGAGTCCGAGCCCGTTAACGCGCCTCCCCCTCTTCGCTCTGGGACATCTAAGGCACGGGCGGGGAACTCGAGTGTGGGGTTTCCACCACAACCCGGGGCCCTGTTGGCCCAACTTCACTCATCTCTGCCGCCGAACCCATCTCGGCGCTCTGGATCGGTTAGCGGGCATACCGCGAGCGGAGGCCCGCCCTTGCCTCGCCGCGGCCC